TGCCCCACAAATCCCCCCTCCCTGCACCCTCACAAATCCCACACAGCCACCCCAGCCCTCCCTGTGCCCCACAAATCCCCCCTCCCTGCACCCTCACAAATCCCACACAGCCACCCCAGCCCTCCCTGTGCCCCACAAATCCCACCTCCACCCAGACCCCACCCTCCCTGCACCCTCACAAATCCCACACAGCCACCCCAGCCCTCTCCCCCCACCCAAACAGGGCCACCAGGGTGTGTGTGTGTGTGTGTGTGTGTGTGTGAAGTGGGGCAATTTGCCCCGGGCCCCACAGGGGCCCCCATGAGAATATAGTATTCTATAGTATTGCAACTTTTTTTTTATGGAAGGAGCCCCCAAAATTGCTTTGCCCCAGGACCCCTGAATCCTCTGGGTGGCCCTGTACCCAAACCCTGCACAGCCACCCCCAATCCTTTCTGCAGACTTTTAATTCTCCCTTCCCCCCATACAGACCCTCCACAGCCACACCTCCAGTCTTTGCCCTACAGACCTTTCATTCTCCCCTCCCTGAGCCCTACAAACCTCAGCCTTATAAGCACAGCCATACTGGATCAGCCCAATCGTCCATCTAGCCCAGCATCCTGTCTTCTGACAGCAGCCAGTGCCAGATGCTTCAGAGGGAATGAACAGAACAGGGCAATTAATGAGTGATCCAGTCCCAGTTTTTGGCAGTCAGAGGTTTAGGGACACCCAGAGCATAGGGTTGCATTCTTGACCATCATGACTAATAGCAATTGTTGGCGCTATTGTCCATTAATTTAGCTAATTCTTTTTTGAACCTAGTTATACTTCTGGCCTTCACAACATCCCGTGGCAACGAGTTCCACAGGTTGACTGCACTGTGTGAAGAACTTCCTATTGTTTATTTTAAACATTCTTCCTCTCCCTCTACCTCCAGCTTCTCCTTCTCTAACCTCTCTTTCCCCTCCTTAATCCCCCTCAGCCTTCAAGGTGCAAGAGTCAGATCAGAAGACTCCCAATGAACCTTTTTAACTGGGATTTTTGGAGCATATAGTTAACAATTTCACCATGAAATAAGCCACTGTCACTGACGAAATTTATTTGTTTTTATCCTTCATAAACTTGCAAATAATAATTAAAAGAAAAATCAATATTTGTATGCAATTAGTCATTACATGAAAAGTTTCACACACTAGGCTATAGAATAATGATCTGTGTCCCAATCCTGCAAACATTTTACTCAGTACTTAGTTCTGTTGATTTAAGTGAATCTACTTGCATGATTAAGGGTAAGCATGTGCTTAAATGTTTTCAGTATTAAACCCATAGTGGTGGTAGAGTTTTCCAGATAGGCAAGTCAGGTCTTGCACATTTTTTATTAATTTGGAATGGCTTAATGTTAGTC